GGAGAACAGATCAAGGATGAGCAAGGTTTAGATATAGAGGCTGATATACTGGGGTGGGTGAGATCCTTGTATTGAACAGTTATGTATCTTGATTGTGGTGCTGGTTATAAGAATCTACTACCAGTTCAATATGATAAAACTGTGTAGAACCCCCCCACACACACACACACACATGAATGAATTATATATGCAATTTGCTGAACAGGTAAGGTAGGCATAGATAAATATACAGATAAGCTGCAAACAATAGGTACTGTTTTGTTCTGATGTTAAATTTCCACACATTCTTCACTCAGAGATTGGGGAAACCCTGATCTAGAGCATTACACTGCAGAACTCCAGGGTCAGCCTGCAGATCGTAGTCTCTAGGAAGAGCACCTTCTGGGGTTGGGCAGGGTACAACCCATGCCACAGTACACGCCAATACACCTTTAGCCAAGTATTGCAAAGTAATGCATCTCAGTTGCTGGTTCTTTCATCTCAGTTTCATGATGGTTCCTGTACTTCAAACTGTTCTACCTTTCAAGCCAGTCTGGATTGGAATAATCACGTTTTTATATCAACAATGATATTCTGATTACAGAGAATGCTCAGTTTTTCAGTCTGCAATTGCTCAAACTTCAGACATAAAAGAGAAGTTTCTTTTCATTTATTCAATAGCCCCTTACTGAGCACTTACTATGGACTATGAAGATTGCTTCCAGTCTGGTCACTACGGTTGCCACGGAGAACCACAGTTCACATGTACGCCTGTGCAGTGCGCTGGCGTGAGACATCTCACACTCCTCTACCGGCTGCTCTGCCAAATACTTTTTATTGAGAAACAGCTTCTCCCTGTAGCTCAGGTATATATTCCATTCCCTAACTTGTTGGCAGAAAGAGAATTTCTAGTGTGAAATATACCTGAAACAGGACTCCCCTCTGTGCAGCAGCTGACACTATCATTTCCTTACAACTGAACCCTTGATCTTGGCCGGTAGTAGACCTTTTTGTTCAATTATTTCAGCCTAGTGGCATGCAGGCCATGCATGATTATGTGGCTCAGGCAAAGCTGGCCCCAGGATAAGCCCAAGTGCTGACTCAAGGCAACAGGTGAGCAATGGGCAAGGTGAGGAGGTGGTGGCAGGGGTGTGCAGGGAAGAGCGCTGGACAGCAGAGGCCGGCTGAGCCAGTGACTCACAGGGCTCCCCTTTGTGGGGAAGGGAGAGGCAGGTAGAGCCTGCCCAGAGCCATAGAAGCCACACCCAGCATAGGCTCTTTCCAGAACTGCTCCTCCCACCCCCAATTTCCCATCAGACACAGGTGCAAGGGGTGCTCAAAGGCTTCTTCCTGAGCAGCGTGTTGGAACAAGGCCAACAGGTGACCTCAGGGTTTGGCACGTTCCCCATGCTCCTGAAAGGAGACTAACCATGAAGGTTTTTATAAAGGTTTAGAGAATGAATAAAGGGAGTGGGAGGGGTGAGATTTAAGCTCCAGGATCCAGCATTTTCCTGGAGCAACGTTTGTCGCACATACACACCTGTCACCAACTCCTCCCTCCTACGCACACCACCACCAGCAGCCCAACTCCTAATCGGCTTGAAGCAGGAAGGAAGCAAGGTGGCAGAGGAGCTAAAATAATCACCTCTCCCAGCTTTAGAGAAGGAAGAGAGAGAGAAAGAAGCTGGCAAAAAAGAAGACTTTGCCTAGACTCTACTGACCTGGACTTGCAAGGGAAGAAAAGGCTGTATGATTTTTTTCTTTTTTTTTTTTGAGACAAAGTCTCACTCTGTTTCCCCAGGCTAGAGCGTTCTGGCATCATAGCTCACAGCAACCTCAAACTCCTCCTCAATTCTCCTGCCTCAGCCTCCCAAGTATCCAGGACTACAGACACTCACCACAATACCCAGCTAGTTTTCTAATTTTAGTAGAGACAGAGTCTCACTCTGGCTCAAGGTGGTCTCAAACTCCTGATCACAGGCAATCCACCTGCCTTGGCCTCCCAGGGTGCTAGGATCATAGGCCTGAGCCACTGCACTGGGCTAAAAGGCTGTATAATTTTAAAGAGGAGGAGGAGGCCAACCCCCTCTCATCGTCGATCGTAAGACAAGTTTGAATCTCATCTGCATTACCTTCTAGCTGTGTGACCTCAGACAACTTTCTCCACCCCCGCACGCCTCAGCTTCCTCATTGGAAAATGGATGATAATGATGATGGTGATGACAGTACCATTCTCCAGAGATTTTCAGGGAGGCTTAAATGTGTTGACACGCATGAAGCCCAGAGAAACACCACGCACACGGGAATGCTCAGTACACCGAGGACAGTCTTAGAAACTCCGGCCAGAAACCCTTTCGCACGCCCCAGCTCCCTCAGAGATGCCATTTGCTCCCTCTGCTTCTTCCTGTCTCCCTGTCTGGCCTTCTTCCAGGGTCCCTCGTGACCATGTCTCTTCCCCATCTCCTTCCCCCCTACCCCAGAGGTATCCAGTCTCAGGATTAAGTACACAGCTTGAGAGTCCGACCCAAGTGACTTCAAAGCCTCACTCTGCCCTCCTTGCTTGAGCAAGCGCCTAGATTTCCTCACCTGCGACCTGAGTCCCCCATCCTGCCTCCCAGACCTAGCTGCAGCCGGAGGACGCCAGTGAAGGGCAGGACTGCCAGCCCTGAGCAGAAGCTCAGCGTTCCCCAGGCACCTCCGTCCATAGCAGCCGATTCTCTGAGTCTGCGGTCACTCCAGTTTCCCTTTCTTTTCTTCTGTCCTCCACATCACATTAGGATAATATAAGAGCTGCCATTTAGTGGACATGCATGGTCTTCCCAGCACCGTGCTACAAACTTGCTCCTGCAATCCTCACAACCATCCCGGATTTAGTTCTGCCTTCTACGCCCAAAGCTCTGCTGCATTTCCAAGTGACTGAGTGTCGCTGTGAAGATCAACAGCAATAGAGGCTCAGTGGCAAAGGAAAAGGAAGTGCTGAGGGGGAGTCTGGCAGGATGCCCAGCCCCCCACCCCCGTCTGCCTGAGACTGAGGTCAACTGAGACAGCTGGTCCTTCTAACAACCCAGTCACCCATAATGCTGAAGGTCCCCAGAAAATATCTGTTGTTGCTATAACAACAGCTCAGAAGCCCAAGCCACAATTTGGGGAAGGTATTTAATTTCTCTGAGCCCCAACTTCCTCATCTGTGTAATGAAGACAGTAGCAGCTCCTTCCTCATAAGGCCGTTAGGACGATAAAGAGGGACTCAGTGCCCCCAGGGTCCCTCCCAGTGCACGTGTCACCCTCAGCCCTCCACAAGTGTCCACATCAAGCCCTGGAGATCACACCTGGCCTTGTCCACCTGCCAGCTGCTGACGCTGGCTACTTCCTTACCCTCTCCAAATCTCAGCTACCTAGAAACTCAGTTCCCGGGGGGTAAGGAGATGAAGTAAGTTGCAGAAAGCTTGTCTTCTTTTATCCCTGGACCATCCACAAGTCCCCTCCCCTCTGCAAAGTGCACCTTTCCTCAGCCTTCAAGGAAGGAAGAAAGAGAGAGAGAGAGAGAGAACGGGAACTGGCTAAAAAAGAGCACTTTGCCTCAACAACACCGGCCCAGTCTGTGGGTAAAGAAGAGTCAGCATCATTTTTTTAAAAACAGGATAGGACACCCCCCACCCCCACCCAGGCAGACTGGCTGGAAAACCCCAGTCCCTCTGGTTCGTAACCACCAGACAGGGAAGTCTCAGCTGAACAATGGTGAGACAGATCCTGCGAGGGGCAGACGGGGAAGAGAGCAGAACAGAGGTACTGGTTTCAGCCTGTGGGTGCATCTAAAATGCCAAATCCGCCACCACACTGACGTCCCTCAGCCCGAAGGGGACAGAAACACCTGGCAGTCTGTGGTGAGGCAGAGCCTGCTCACAGGACCAGGAGCATGGGAGCAAAGGCCACAGCCCTTGGCTTGAAGTGTCAAACATCCCAGGCCCCTTAGTCAGAGTGCCTGGCTGCGTCCCATGTTATTGTGACCTCTGGTCCTGGGCTGGTGCAGGACAACCCGCTTGGTGACTCTCCAGGAACTCCAGGAGCTAGAGGCCTGCTTTTCTCTTCCCCTGTCCAGCTGTGTTGTCTGGCAAGGACCAATCAGGCCTCATGAAGGAGGAACGCCCTGGCAGTGGTCTCAAAGGCCTTTCTGTGAAGGTCAGTGGCTTGGATGTTCCTGATTTTTCACATTGATTAAATGCCAACAGCATGCTGAGCCCCAGAGACACCAGAGGTAGACAGTTTGTGCGCACTCTGTGCAGAGATAAACAGAGGCGTGGCATTCCAGGGCTCTGAGGGAAGATGCCCCTTGAAGCCATGGAGCAGCCTTTGTCCATGTCGTCACCTTTAGGGGTGTTCTCAGAAAGTTCCATTCCAGTGCTTAGTGATAGGATGAATCAGAGCCTGATGACTTCTTGGCCGCAATGACGCTTAGCCTGGAGCGCCAGTCTTCCCGGCCACTCCCCAGACAACAGGCTTCGCTCAGCCTCCCTGCACTCCAGGCACTCAGTAATGAAAGGACAGCTGGAGGCAGGGCACTGGTCCTCAGGGTTCTTCACAGTCATCTAACATGGATTAGCCGGTCCCAGGGTGAAGGCAGTGCCGATGGACAAGGACCTAGAAGGAAAAGCCACCACCTTTGGAAGAAGCCAAGGATGGGTGTCTGCGGAGCAGAGACCGGCATGAGGGATGAGATACACAGTTTCCGTTGCCCACCATCTCCAGCTGTCCCAGCATAGCATGCAGGGTGGGGACTGGCACAGTGGTCCCTCAGCTCTCTGGCTAAGGAGTGCTGATTCTGGCAGGCTGTAGCTCTAGCCTCACCTGGGACAATTACTCCTCTCTGGGCTTCAGATTCCTCTATGGTAAAATAAAGAGATTGGATTTGATAGGTTTCCAAAGGTCCTTCAAGCCCTGTGATTGAACAGCATGCATGGAGTCTACGCAGGCATGTGAGGCTGGCTCCCTCTTGGGCAAAGGGCAGCTGGAGAAGATCAAGGTGTGACAAGAAGAGTGTTGTGGGGTTCCCCCATGAGCAAACCTCTTCCCCGTCTCCTTACTCCCCCACATGGCCTTGCCAGATCCTCTGGCTTTGACCCAAAATGTCCCTGCCCCCAGCATGCATCTTTGCTCACCTTTGGAGTGACTCATGGCAACCCGGGACAGGGTGCCCCAGAGCATGCCCACAAGTCATTGCCTGCCTGTCCCTTGCCCAGGTGCCACCGTTGGGAGCTGTCAGGGCTGTCAGCTGTTCCTAAGCCTGAGGAGCTCCTTGAGTTACAAACCTGAGAGGACATGGAAATTGAAATAGGAGAAGCAGCAGTGGGGGGGAGGGGGCGGGCAGGGCCCCTAGGGCAGCTATGTAAAGACAACCCAGCCAGAGTGACCACATTATTTATTGGCTCTCTCCGGGAGACATATATGGTTATAAAAAGAACCTCTTCGTATCACAAACACACTGTCCCGCTTTCTGGTGAATCGCTGCGTATCTCTGCACTTACTCAAAGACAATCACCAGGCAGGGAAGTACCTGATGAAGGCCTGTCAGCATCACAGTTATTTTTTCCTAAGTGCCTTACAGGATGTGGGGTTCAGACAAAAGACGGTCCAGTTCACAGGGAGGGGGAGCCCCCACGGAAGGGGAGGGCCTTTCTCAGGCCCACCCAGCAAGCCCAGACAGAGCTGTGCCTTGGCCAGCAGGCAGGCCAGCATTCCCAGAGACCCAGGCACCCTGTCTCTATGCAGGGAAAGGATAGGAGGGCTGGGGACATTCTTAGAGCCAAAAGAGCCCACAGTCTTTCCACCACCAGCCTGGACTGCGGGGAGATGAGGGCCACGTAGGGGAAGAAGGGCGGCCGATTGGAAATGATGTCATGTGGCCGCAGCTAAAAAAAACATTCTGCTGTTAAGTGCTGCAGCATAAATGCTGTGGCAGTTGCTACGCCGAGGAGTGGGTTTCACCAGGTTGGATCGAGTGGCTCCTTTCCTGGAAACCAGGCTTCTGGTTGCTAGGGCTGATAAGGCAGAGAAAACGCTCCCCCCCGACACTCATGGGAAAACATTTTGACATTGAAGAGGAGCTGGGACATGTTAACAGTTGAGAAAGAACAGAGCAGCCCCAGCCCAGCGGGGACTCAGATTACCAACTCCGAGTGCCACAGGCAGTGAATCAGACAGTACCTGCTCTTCAGATGGAGGGACAGCAATCCCCAAAGGACACGCCGCTGAACGTGACCATGGTGCATCCTGTCCTCTCCAAACGTCCTCAAGGACCCCGCCTCCACTCTGGAGGGCTGTGGGCTTCAGCAGCACACACAGGGCAGCCAGCCACGCTGGCCATGGGCACTGATGTGACAGCACCATGAGGCTGTGGACAAGGAAAGGAATCATAGGGGCAGGTGGAAGGAAGCTCTGCAGACCCCAATGGGGACAGAATCTGCACCAGCAGCTGTGGGCAGTTGGGTGCTAGCTAGCCTTGGAGCCTCCCTGGTTATAACTCTATGCTGGGGGGGGGGGGGTAGGGCCATGGAGTAGCCTTCAAAGGGAAATAAATGGTTTAGTGATTCAGGAAATAAAACTCTTTGGTTGAGCCCCAGAGCTGGCCTAACCTAAACTGATTTCTGCCCTACAATGACCGGTGTTGTGACGAGGTGCCTTTCTGTGTCTGTTTTAATCCACTTCGCAAACACCTTGTCTGGGATTTACGAACTTTAGTCTGTCTACTGGAAGATCCAAGTGCCCACCAGTTTCTGCCTCTTGCAAGATAGCTATGAATCTTCTCCTCCATGACTTACTGGTTTGGGGCTTTCTCTGAAGTTCCCTGCAGTCGTCCAAGAGCTCTCAGGAAGAGGGTGAGAGCACTGAACTCTGGAGCCTGAGACCCAGAAGCCCTGTGGGCGGGGCCTCCGGTCAAAGCGCTGCCCTTGATTGTGGTGCTGGGGAGTCGTGGGCATCGCTGCTCCCTCAATGGAAGTGAAAGTCAGTGAGTCCCACTTCTCTGTGATGCTCTAATCACCACAGATACCGCGAGAGATTCAACTGTGCTCCAGAGGGAAATGGGAATAATGAAGGAAGGGAGGAGACAGAAGTCTGAAACCAGTCAGCCAGCAAAATCAGGTAGAGAGTGGAGTCACAGAACAGAAAAGAGAGGGAACTGACCAGGATGTGTTCAGGGAGGAACGGAACGCCCAGGGGGCGTTAGATCTACATTTTTAAAATACTCGTATTTTAAAAGAAAGACTGAAAAGCTGAAGGAAAAAGATTTAACCAGTTAGAAACAGGGATACATACCGAGATGGATTTGAAATCTGAAGTTTAGAGAAAAAGACACATAACAGCATATATATAATTTATGTAAGCCAAAAAAAAGAACCAGACATTTAATTATAGCAACAATTTTTATTCCAGAAGGCTAAGAGAAATAGGCACTTAGCAAATTTTAAGTATTTTAAATGGTGGATAGCAATCCCAAAAATATAATATGTATTTATAGTATTGAGCAGTAGTCCAAACATTTTATCAGCAAAAACACTTTTAAAACAGTACTCACGTACTGATACAATTTTATTTGTGTGGTTTGGGTTTTGTTTTTTTTTTCCCCCAGAAATGAAATCTCGCTGTGTTGCTTACGCTGGTCTTGAACTTCTAGTCTGGTCTTGAACTCCTAGCCTCAATCGATTCTCAGCCTGAAAAGCGCTGGGATTACAGTATGAGCCATCTCTCCTGGCAAATACTATTTTATTCATAAAATTCATATTTTGAATCTGCATTAACTTGTTAGAAACATTATGAGACATAAAAACAGAACATTTAAAAATATTTTAATAATTTGAAATATTTTATCAACCACATAAAGGTTTTAAGTGATAATATTCTACATGAGAGTAATGTGATTGAATAATGTTAGATATTGTTTTTGATACTTGATTTTAACAACTGCCATAAATAAATAAAAAAGCCTTACAAACACCTGTAGCTCCAAATAGAAATCTTGGTACTTATTTTTCTAACCTCCCTACCTCTTAAGCAAAGAGTTTATTGAAATTCAGCTGGTAAATATCCATCTTCACTAATGTTAATTGGCTTATTACAAATGAATCAGAAGTTGTTGTACTTTATACTTGTCACGAATGACTTCAAAACTCATGAAGATTTTTCAGTTGAAAAATTGAGGGCAGAACAGAAAATTCTCTTTCTAAATTTTTAAAGAATATTGGTATAAAGTTTTATATTTACAAATATCATTTTCAGCTAAAAGAAAGAAAAAGGAAGGGAAGAAAAGGGGAGGAATAGAGGAAGGGAGAGAAGAGAGGGAAGGAAATTACAAGAATTTGAGATAATCTCAAAGATCTGTTTCAACACGCTCTCTCCGCAACATGATTTTATTTTAAAAATCAATTATTCTTTCACTCATTGTTAAAATGTCACTTTTACTTAGAAGGGAGTTATTAAGTTGTCCTTAATGTTCAAGATTACTTTCTATATTGCTTATACCTGATAGCCTCTTATCATACAGAGAAGGTTCTTATCAAACAGAAAAGGTCAGAAACCCTCCCCCCACGGATTAAGTGCTGGCTGCTTTTCACTGTGGCGTGTACATATCTTAAGGGTGGAGTGGGGTCTTCAGCTGCGCAACATTTGAACCCCCTTGCCCTATTGGGGAATCAGCATGGTCTGGGCGGGACTCATACCTTCTGCGAAAGTAGCCAGAAAGCCAGCTGTTTGCTGACCCTCAGCCTGGAGGCCAGGCCTGAACAAACATGCGCCTGGCCAAGCTGCTTCCGCAGCAGGGAACCCAGAAGCAAAGGAAAGTCCAGGTGAGTTTCACCTGTGGCAATGCTCACAGTGTCCCATTGTAGCAGGGGTGGCCAGTGGGGTCCATCTAACTTGAGGCACGACCTTGGCTCTGTCTTCCCTTGGGTTCCATCCTTTTCCATCCTTTTCCTCCCTTGTTCTCTAGTCTGTCTATCTGTTCCACGAACCTCTTAATTTATCCCCGAATCTTTCTCTAGAGTCAGTTTTGCTTTTTTAACATGACTCTTTGCCTGATCCAATGGACCATTGGACCAATGGACCATTCCTTATATAATTCCATTCTCCGACCCCCCCGGATCTCTTTTTTGTAATAGATTAGGGAATCAGTTATTTATTTTCACTTCAAATCATCCCCAGGAAACAATCACCTTTGACATTTATTGTAGGACAAAATACATCTAAAGAGAATGATTACTCTTGGTTGGAATAATATCCAAATGTACAAATGAAATGAGTATGAACTCTTCCACCATACCTGGAGTGTTTAAAAATGCTGTATTCAGGCGGCGCCTATGGCTCAGAAGGGTCGGGTAGTGGTTCCATATGCTGGAGGTGGTAGGTTCAAACCCAGCTCGGGACAAAAAACGGCAAAAAAAAATGCTGTATTCAACTTTCTTAATTAAATTCAATCCCAGTTCCAGCCACTACTTGGCAAATCTGGTTAAGTGGAGAGTATTGGACAGCCCCCCTGCTCCTCCAGAACACAGAGGAATCCCTGGGCTTAGGCACAGCAGAGAAAGGAGGATGGCCTTGCCTTCAGTTCTGAATAGTCACACAGTCACTAGTTTTTTGCTGCCCAGTGCCACTGCCAAGAGCTGTTGGTCCCTGTCAGCCATGCCCTGTCACCCTTCACAGCCCTCACAGCTGTCCTCCCACTGCACATAGGTACAGCCATATGGCCTTTACCAGAGTCCCAGGCCACAGGGCTGGTGACCAATCTCAGTGCCATATCCACACTAGATCCTCAGAAGTGCTGGCCAAGCAGTGCTGTGGTCCAGTGACCTGAGGATCCCAGCGGTCCTGCTGCCTAAAGGCCATCTACAGCCTCTGACCCTCAGGCCGGCCTCCCATGCACACAGCCAGCACCTCCAGGCTCCCAGAACTTCACCAGAGAAGGGCCCTGGTTTGTCCTTATGGGGGAGTAAAAATGACCTCTTTCTTGTGCTGATGTGTCTTCTAAGGAAGAAGAAGAACAAACAGAAAATGAAATATCTCACTTCTAGAGCTAAGATGGCAACAGCCCTAAAAACAATTTATTTTTAATAATTGCTATGAAGTAAAAGTTAAATTAATGGATGTTCTGGCTGCAAGTAAAAGAAACCAATTCATTTAGCTTAAATAAAAAGTGGGCATTAAAAAAAAAAAGAAAGAAAGAAAGGAAAGGAAAATGGGCATCTTGTTAAGGCAGAAATGGAACCAGGCCTCTGAAAAAACTGGAACCAGGACCAAGAAGGCTGCCAAAACCTCAGCCGTATTTTTGTGTCCCTCACCTGTGCTTCCCTCTGCACATGTGCTTCATTTTTCTCTCTGCAGACTGCTTAAGCTCCCCAGAGAATAGGGCAGAAGACACTCAGAGCGCTCAAGTGTGCACGCTGCAGTCCCCACTCAGGAAAGAGTTGGTAAATCTCTCTCTCCCCCCTCTCCCATTTCTCTCTTTTTTTCTTTCTCTCTCTCTCCCTTCTTTCCTCTTGTTTTCTCTCCTGTCTGTCCTAGTTCTCTCTTCTTTTTTTCTCTCTTTTTTTCTCTCCCCCCTCTTCCTTCTCTCTCTCTCTTTTGTCTCTTCTCCCTTTGTGTCCTTTCTCAATCTCCCCACCCCTGCCAATTTCCAAATTCCCAAGGAAAAGACACTGACTGGTACAGCTGAACTCAGTTCTCTCTCCCTAGCCTCATCAATGGCCCAGAGAATAGGCTTGTATTACATAAACATGGCTATCAGAAGCCCATGCTATAGCTTGAAAGGCTGGTAAAAGACAGGGCTATACAGATGGGGGGAAATCTGAGGATGGGATCTTGTTTGAATCCCCTTAGAACCTGACTCTGATGCAAGCAGGGTATTGGGGAGGTGGAAGAAATGCCAACTGGAGCATCGGAGGTGATGCAGGGAGAGGAAGGAGGCCAGGAAGGGCCCTGTGGAAGCAGTGGGTCCAGGGCATGGACCTCGCAAGGAACTGTGGGAAACAGGCTGAACCATACACCTCGAAATGACTCCAGGGTTGAGGGAGCCAGAGTTAACACCAACTCCCTGGAATGTTCGGTTAAGGGCCACTCCTCAGTGGTGTCCATTTAATGGCCTTTCCAACTAACCTTGCATATGTGTACAGGTCCAGAAAGAGCCCTCAGGCACAGGGGTGCAGACACTGGCAGCTGGAAGTCACCAGAGCAGAATGTAGTAGCTGAGGTCCCAAGGACACAGGTTGGACCCTGACTGCTTCTGCTGGGACAGTTACTGAGCTGGGGAGGTGCTTTGGGCTGACCAACTGCACCTCCCTCAACAACCACCACTTTGCTTTTTCCTCAGTCATTTGTCTGGGTAACTCACAATGCTGAAATGGAACCTCTGGGAAGAGAAGCTACCAAAAGATAGCCCAGGGCTGCATCACGTGGGAAAACAAGAGGTGCTACCAAAACCGGGAAGGAGCCGAGCACAGGGACCCCTGCCTGTAATCCTAGCACTCCGGGAGGCTGAGAAGGGCAAACCACTTGAAGGACAGGGTCTGAGACCAGCCAGGGTAACATAATGAAAGCTCAGCTTTCAACCTTTTTTTTGAGACAGCATCTCAAGCTATCTCCCTAGGTGGAGAGCCATGGCATCATAGCTCACAGCAACCTCCAACTCTTGGGCTCAAGCAATTCTCTTGCCTCAGTTTTTCTATTTTTAGTAGAGATGGAGGTCTCACTTTTGCTCAGGCTGGCCTCGAACCCGTGAGCCCAAGTTATCCACCTGCCTTAGCCTCCCAGAGTGCTAGGATTACAGGTGTGAGCCATGGTGCCCAGCCTACAGAAACTTTTAAAATCAGCCAGGCATGGTGGTACC